TCTTTTCAACTGAGGATTTCCTTCTTTCCAGGGTCACGGAGGGTGGCTCCTTATATTTTTATACATTTTTTTAATAAAGGGGGATTGGGCAAAAGGGTCAGGAAAAGGTCAGATACACAGGGAGAAAAATAGAAATATAGAAATCATGATATAGAAAACATATCCACTTATCCGTCCCACCAGAGTCCCATAGAAGTTCAAGAGAGCACATAAGTGTAAAGGGAGGTTGTTTCTCAGTAATAAATGTGTTACCTTCTGCTATATATGAAACCTAGGGCATAAAACCTTGATTAAATGTACACACTATCTAACATGGGAAGGGTCCTTGTGAAGTCGATAGGAAGTTTAGGAGAGTCTGTCCCACGGGGAGAAACCCTGCGGCCCCACCAAAGAGGGATCGCTACTTTGACGAGCAAAGAGAAGCCTGATTTTGAGCAATTTTTATTTCTCTAAATTCCCAGAAATAACCTCACCAAAGTTGAAGATGCGCCACCAAGATGTTTATTAGCAATTAAGCTGAAAAGGATGCAATGCCGCAATCATTCGCCAAGCAGAGCATGTGGTTACAGAAATAAATTGCATTTTTATAGGAAATACAGAGTTGTGAGTTTCAAAATTCCCACTCCACACCCTCCTCCCGGCTTGACGGTGATTGGTTGGCGTGCTAACAGCTGGGAGGGGGCTCGGCCGCCCTCCCCGCATTAGAGCCAATCACAGGGCTTTCATGGCACACTTGAGCCTGTCAGGAGGCTCCTGCCGCCTTGGAGCCCTGGCAAATCAGGAGGAAGGGAGGCAGGATGAAGGGAGACAATGTTTTCTTGAGTGGATTATGGAATTCCAATGTCCTGGGGCTTCTCGAGTCTGGAATCGGCCTTCTAGAGAAACTATTTTCATTGTCTTGAGATGGGTCTGTGATAAGTAATGATTACTTAATCTGGGTTTTCCTGTCGCAATCAGATATGACACAAAGGGGAAGGCTGGGGTGGATGTCCGTTGTGGAAAGGTTTTAAAGAAAAAAAACAGGTTTGGGGAAAAGAAACTTTTCGAGGGTCGTCTCTCCCCCATTGTTATGTGATTAGAAGTCTGCCAAGCGAAAATCCGTTTTGATGGCCCAACTCCGAAGTCAAAAAGGATTTTCTGTTCTATTTTCCATGCAAATATGTCCCAGGATAAGAGTTCTTTCATGATTGCTCATTGCTTTTTCAGAGGCAGGGCAGCTTCCCTGTAGACTTCCCCCAAGGAGAGGGGAAGTGGGTAAAGGGTCAGGGCAGGGTCAGAAAAATGGGGGAAAATATATGTGGAAATATAGGAATCATCTCCAGGCATCTCCCCCCCTCCCCTCCCCCCAAGAGCAATTGATAGGAGCAATTAATCATAGTACACCATGAGTTCATAGTCCATTCTAGGGAAATTAATAGGTAGAAACAAGTTCTTGAAGGAAATTGAAGTCTAAAGTATGTGGCAGAAGGTCCGAAGACACAAAAAAGTTCTGGTTATTTCCACTGAGCCAAAAGATGGAGTCCTGCGGTGCTTGAAATTGAAGCTGGTCCTTGGTCCTTGGAAAACTATAACTCCTTCCAAGGGCTGAAGCCTGATGACCAGACTGCTCATCTGAGAGCCTCATGAGGTAACCGCATCAAGTCTCCCGGGCAGGGGGCTTCAGGAGGATGAAGAAATAAAGAAGACAGTGGCAGTGCGGCAGCAGCGAGGCTTGGATTTTGACAATCAGCTGTTTCCTTAAAATTATATTCTTAAAATTGAAAAGGTTATTCCCCAAGCATAGGGGCCCGAAATGCAAAAAGCGAGATAGCATATAGTGTTAGAATTTAGCTAGGAAAAATATGGTATCAAAATGGAGCCAATCCGTCATCTCGCGGATACGGGGGCCTGAAGGGTTTTCGTATCCGCGGTTTGGAGGAGTGCAGATTCGGCCTCCCCGGAACGCCAGGAAGGCATCCCAGGCAGGCCTGCGGTTTCCCGCGGCCCAGAAAAGGCTATTTTCATGCATTTGCACAGTTTCAGGCAAGAAAGGGACACAAGGTATCAGTCTGGAGAAGTTAAAGTTACAATTTGATTGGTCTTTATTGGGGGATTGGATACATAGTTTGGGCTGGGAAAAGGAGTGAAAGGAGAGAGCACACAGCTGCAAAGAGTCCCTGGTTGAGGCTTCTGCTGGGGCACATTTCATCAGGTTTGGCCCAACTTGGCATTCAGGAACTGCGGAACTCCCTGCCTGTTGTCCTTGGGAAACTATAACTCCCTCCTGGAGTTGGGGTGGGACAACGGGGCTTCCTGATGATCCCCTGGGATGTCCTCATTGAGTCTCTGGAAGCCGGGGATCCCACGGGACGAAGGGAAGATGTTGGTTACAGGCAGACGTGGCAGCAAGCAAGAGTTTCTCACCTCTGAGGATGCTTGCCATAGATGCAGGCGAAACGTCAGGAAAAATGCCTCTAGAACATGGCCATATAGCCCGAAAAAACCCACAAGAACTGAGAAGAGTTTCTTTGTTTTAAAATAATACTAAAAATCCAATGATTATTTCCTGAGTGCAGGGAGAGTAAATGCAAAAAGCGAGATAGCAGATAGGGTTAGAATTCAGCTAGGAAAAATATGACACCAAAATGGAGGCGATCCGTCAACTCGCGGATACGGGGCCCCCGAGTGGTTTCCGTATCCGCGGTTTGAAGACATGCAGCTTCCAGAAAGGCATCCCAGGTGAACCGGCAGCCACCCGCGGCTCGGAATAGGGTGATTTCATTCATTGGAACAATTTCAGTAAGAGAGAGACACAAAGTATCAGTCTGGAGAGGTGAGGGATACAATTCAATTAGTGTTTATTCAGGGTTAGTTACAATGTTGGGATTGGGGAAAAGAAATGAAGCAGAAAGGTTCAATGAGAGAGAAAGTTCCTGGTTGAGACTGAGGTTGAGGCACATTTCATCTGTTTGGACTCAACTGGGCATCCAGGAACTGCGGAACTCCCCGCTGCAGGTCAAATTAACTTGAAAGGAGGGGCCTGGGCTGCGCTCGGTATCATCCTTAGCAAAACTATAAGTTACTATCTTTTATGGGGGGGGGGGTCATGTTCGACTGCATATATATATTTAACAGATATTTATATATATTACATATATTACATATAATTAATATATAATGTAGAAATAGAATATTTATTTAATATCTATCTTTTATATATGTATATATTTAACAGCTATTTTAATATATTGTATATAATTAATATAATGGATAAAAATAATATTTATTTAAATCTATATATTTTATAAAATTTTATATAACATATTTATATATTTTATATAACGTCGAAATATATTTATTTAATATCTATATTTTATATCTGTATATATCTAACAGATATTTTAATATATTATATATAATCAATATAATGCATAAAAATAATATCTATTTAAATCTATATCTTTTATATTATTTTATATAACAGATATTTAATATAATATAATATTTATTTATTTAATATCTATCTTTTATATATGTATATATTGAACAGATATTTTAATATATTGTATAGAATCAATATATTGATTATGCATAAAAATAATATTTATGATTATGCATAAAAATAATATTAATAATATTAATGCATAAAATAATATTTATTTAAATCTATATATTTTATATAATTTTATATAACATATATTTATATATTTTATATAATGTAGAAATATAATATTTATTTAATATCTATCTTTTATATCTGTATATATTGAACAGATATTTT